CATTTGAAGTCCTATGAAGTCTTCAGAAGTCTTTCGAAGTCTTGTGAAAATATGAAGTCACAGCGGGTGAAGTCTGTTGAAGTCTGTTGAAGTCTTTTGAAGTCTTGAAGTCTTGAAGTCCGCTGTTTCCCCCTTGGAGTTGATTGCCTCTTAAAGTCATTGGAAAACAGTGTCTATCTCCTGATGGATTCAAGTGAAAATGATGAAAACTTGTAGAAGTAGGTTTTACGGCATGCTGAACACGATGGTATTGTCGAAAAGTTCAGGACCGGTAAGATTCTGGATTCGGTTTTCTAGAGGGTCTCTGGAGACCTGTTGTACAACTTTTTCTTTTGTTTTGATTTCTTATTCGGATAGTGCATGAAAAACTACATCGATCTATATATGCCACTCATGGGTTTGAAACTTCGTTATCCTATAATATTAGGTCAAAAGGTCCCAAAACCCTGCTTTTTTGCGGGTTTTTCGAGTATTTGACCCTAAAACTATTCAAAACTTGGCTTTGAATCGTTTCTTTTACACGATTCTGCTTGGAAAAGTAATTCCGCACATGACTGAATGCTTTTTAGGGTTTGTAGTGTCGTTACTAGATCCCTTGACGCCGACAACTGAAACCAGCCTTCTATTAACATTCTACAGTGAAATAGCTTTTTCTCAGAGAAAACTTCATTGTCTTTGAATATTAATGTGATATTTGGAATCAGCATCAAATTCCCCATCTGATGATGGTGAATTTCATAAGATTCTAAAAAAAAACTTTCTTGATAGTCCTGGGGTTCCCTACAGGTGCAAAAACTACAGGCAAAAATGAAAGTCATTTTTCGACAGAAAAAAATACTTCATTTTACTCAGAATTCAATGCTGATTCCGAATATGTAATTCGTTTTCAAAAGTATTTTGGGCGAAAAAATGGCCTTATCGATACTTGTCCTTTATGTATTGATCGTACATTGTTTTGTTTTTCTTCTCATTCCGATGTAAAAACAAAAAGGAACATTTAACGAAGCGTGCGTTAAAATTAACGCCAAAAGTTGCGTTAAAAGACAAATAAACCAAGTCTCACCAAGAAAATTCCATGAACTTTCGTTAAATTTTGGAAATTCGTAAAAACACGTTAAATTTTTCACGCTTTTTTACACGGGATTGTCTTTTTAACGGCAACTAACTCGTTACATGTCGTTAAATGTAGCATTCGTTTTCACACGTGTAGTACTTTAAATTTCTCCCTTGGATTATATGCCACCCGTATAAGTGCATAGAAAAATCATTCACATGTCTTGCCATGTAGTATATATTGGAACACGTCCTGTTATAGCGTATTCTATGAATAGTGCTCGAATCAGCATCAGAATCAGGATTTTGGACTAGGGTGATGATTGAGGCTCGATAGTTGTGCCAGTGACACGATCTGGGGATAAAGATGAAAACAGGCGTGTGTTTGATGAATCTTAGAGCGACAGAGCGAAGTTTGTACCAAAAATCGAAGCTTATTTCTTAGAATTTCAAAACTATCAAGAATAGTTTTTCATCAGAAGACACTCTTAAGGAATGAATCAAAATGTATTATAGAGGGCGCTAGTCTTGAAAATATTCTTGAAATACTTTGAGAGTAACTATCGATTCACATAATTATAAAGACTAAATTTAATTTAATTTTCTGCAAAAGTTCTAATGCAGTCGAAATATTCGCATTATGCACATCTTATCACTGACTAGTAACAGAATAGCGTTTGGGAGTTCATTGTTTCCTATTTATACCGATATAGTATTGAGGGTTGATCTTCCATGAGAAATGAAGGTACTAGTTTACTTTAAACGTAGCAGAGATATGATTTGCACACAGAGCATTGCGTGAGAATGAGGGCACTGTGTCTAAAGCAAACTATTATTGAAATGAATAATGACAAATTTTCCAAATGTATTAGAATCTTTACAAAAAATTAAATTAGATTTTCTCATATTAACTATATTTGAATTGATATCTGACCATAAGATATTTCGAGGATGTTTTCAAAATTACCGCTATCTATAATTAATTTTTGGCTCGTCTATATTCTGCTGACAAGCGTTTGAGATTATATAATATATTTATAATGCATTTTGATTATTGAATATCATTAGAATCTTTCTTTACATTAAACAAATTTTTGAAACAAGATTATCCTGTGAAATCCAGTCAATAATAGATCGAGATAAGTCCAGTAATTTCGAATAAATTTTAACTCATATATTCCTGCGTCCCTCATTCCTTCATTTGATTACTGATTTTGTTGGCGCGAAAGCAGATCCATATAAAAACAGAAGTTATTTGCTGCTTCTTTTCTGATAATTTCTAACTGAGAAGAAATTAGTTATTAAAGTAGAGAAAATAGACACATTTCGGGCAAACAACAGTATAGTTGTACATTTGAGTGAACGAACTATTTTTTTTTTCTGAAAACTCAAGATTTATTTATGTAGTTTCACTCGAGATTTTTCGGAGTATTTTACTACTGAGTTGTGATAAATTGAGTCTTTAGCTCATAAAATTTACATATAGTATGAAAAACGCTGACTTGCTCATCTCAACTAACTACGTAGGCTTAGATATACGTTATTGTTTGATCAATATCTTCTTAAGCTTCATTCGTCCAAAGAGAAATATCTTGCTAAGCAGTTCAATATTGTAGGTAATTTCTAATAAAATGCTTACGAAAATCTTTTTATCACCACAATTATTTCGTAACAAATAGCGAAACCAATCATGATTTACAATATTTTTTTTTGTTATCGGTATATCAAAATTTAAATTAGTTATGTGTCTCCTCGCTACAATTTCGAATACGCATATGTACTAGAAATGTATATCATAGCATGAGAGAAATGATAAGATTATACTGGTTTAAATTTTGAGATATGGATAAAAGAAAAAATATTGTAAATCATGATTGGTTTTGCTATTTGTTACGAAGTAATTGTAATGATAAAACGATTTTCGTAAGCATCTTATTATAGGAAGTACCTCCAATATTGAACTGTTTAGCTGGATATTCCTCTTCAGACGAATGAAACTTAGGAAGATATCGATCACTGAAGGAAGTCCATCATACTTGCGGTCAATAACAATATATGAAAAATGCCGAACAATAATGTATATATCAGCTTACGTATTTAACGTGTTATCATGCATTTTTTAATAAATCACGCGTGAAGAATCGTTAGAAATTTACCGACTTAACGAAACAACCGCACTAGAATTTCAAAAACGCGCTTAAACGCGTTAATTTTGCGCGCTTTTAATGCGCTTTGATGGTCAAAATTGTAACATATTTAATCTTGAAATCGTGAAATTTTGAACGAATTATCACGTCACAAGACTTCGTTAAATTGGCAAAAGTTTTTACATGGGTTCTGTTGTGCCTGTTTGTTCGTCATCGTCATCTGTTTTGTACAGATTCTGTCTTTCCATCATCTGCGCTTTATTGAGATTTATCTTATGTAAAATTATCATATGAATCTGTTTGATAGAATCCGTAGATTCATCATAAAATTTGAAAGATGAAGCTGATAAGAAAGTATGAATAATTTCCAAGAGATATTAGACGAACTGTTTGATATGTTTATCTACTTTAGAATATCATAGCTGCGATAGATCTGCTTGGATAATTTGTTCCAAAATGATAACAAATACCATAAAATTATTCTATAGATCACATTTTCTCTCCGAAATACGCATAAAACGTAATAGAAACCGTCAAAAGTAATTTTCTCTTTTCTCCTTCTATAATATGGCACGCTAGTTATCGCTAAAGACATATAATTTGATATTCTCAGTTTTGACAGAATCATGAGTTAAAAATCAATATACAAAACAAATCACAATTAAAGTTAATTTTATAGACACTAATCCAGAACTATTTAAATGAGAAAAGATATGCGTTTCACAAGTAAAAACATGCCTGTTTTTACTACATGAGCATGATTATATCACGAGAACTAAGGACCATAGGCATAAATTCTTTTAGGATTTCCTTAGTTCCCCTGATGTATATCTATGACTAAATGATCAATACGAAAGTTCAGAATCAGTTGCAGTAGTTTCCTTGTAAGTATTAATCCAAAATAAACTCGATCGATTCGAAGGTTATCACAAAAAGTACAAAACAATATCAAGTATAAGTAATAGTCCTCAACTATTGGTGTTCATCAATCTAAACTAAATAGAATTCTTTCCTCTGTATGATTTCAAATATATCCGAGAAGAGTACAGCAACGAAAAACAAAGTAAAGATGAAGCAGTGATTGATACCCTCCTATGAAAGCATATAATCAATCTTATGAAAGCTCATTACATTGATATTGCTCATTGCAGAAGTATCGGTAACCTTTCTGCTAGGAAGAAACAAACAGATCTTCGCTCTTTTCATCATTTAAATGATACTCATTTTTGTGAATCATCATCTTATATATTCATAATGATAGGACAACTATCGAAACATTGATTAGAAAAACACTAAACTTAGGCTATAATGAAACTGTATATTTACGAATCAAATAAATTTTCACGAAACAATCAAAAAAAATTATCTTTAATGACTCGAAAATCCGAAGGTACCGTACAATATACTATTTTTATCATAAAATTTCTAGCGAAGAAAATAAAGCTAAAACGACATAATCTTTGTACACAAGAAAAAGAATAACATATCGAATCATAAGCATTGCTCACACAGAAAAGCCTTCTAGTCAAGTTCATATTGATTTCAGCTCATCATAAGAGCACAGGAAAGTTTTCGGCAAAATATTCATGACTATCAGCATTCATAATTGCTTGTGACGGAGCACTCAATGCCAAACTTGTGGATGCCATCTTACCATATGCATAATCATAGGTACCAACAACGACTGAAAAGTGTGAAGTTTCATGAATCAGTGTGCCAGCCTTAGAGTCCGTGCCTGTCATTGGAGCGGACCAAAACACAGGACATAAGTGTATTATGTATGGTTGATCTCTGTAAACATAAGCATACGTGCCAGCATATGGGCTAGCATTATTGCATCCACAATCGAAAGTGATTCTCTTCGAACTAAATACGTTTTTGATATTTTGAAAGTGTATCTTCTGTGTATTCCAATTGCTCAACATAAATCTACCAAACCAAGTCTTATAGCGATTTGTTCCACTCGGTTTCGTTTTATTCAAATAATTGAAAGAATTATTAGCATACTTAAGAGCCCAATAGACTGCAGTGGTTATTTGAGATTTCTGGGTTATCGAACAAGAAACATATGAAAGAGTAGCTGCTGCTCTTCTAACCACATTCATATTTTTATTTTGTTCACGTTGACGATTCGGACGACCTTCGATGATCAACTGAATATTATTTGACTGGAGACCAGATTGACGCTTAGTAATGGCCCTGACAAGAGAACTCTCGAATGTTCGAGCATATTTGAAAACAACACGTTCAGCTGGCATATCATATTGAATCGAATAAATACCAGTTTTAGTCATATCATATGCTGATGATAATCGAGCTTGAATGATTTTTGTTTTACCAGGTTCTAGAGGAATCATATCTTCAATGGTTGGTTCACGCCGTTTGACAAGCGGACCAACATAATTAACTGGAACATTATTACAATTTACTTTGAATAATGGATCATTTAATTCATTGTTTGGTAAACACCATTTATAAATCGATATTGTGTAATTACTAGTGTTATTATATTGCATTTCGACTACTACATCTTGTTTTTTATCAAACACTGAATGAGCTGAAAGTATTTTAACTTGTAAACAACTTCCATAGACATTACCTACCATCATTGCCATTGCAATGAATATAAGAGCAAGTTGCTTGTTCATATTTGTTGAATGTATGTATATCAATCTATTTGTATTTTAATATCTTGTTTTTTGTATAGAAATAAACGAAGCTGCATTGCATTTATATACATAAAAGAATTTAAACGCAATGTTAAGTACAGATATTTTAGGTATTTCCATTCATTATTTACGACAGTTGTACCTATCTTCACTCGAGTACTCCATATACAAAGAGTCGATTTGAAAATAATCCGAAAAGTTCAATATTTTCTCCTTCAAGTACAACATCGTTAACGTGATTTATGTGAAAAATCAGTTATTGAAGCATGACGTAAATAAACAGAGGAGATAATATAAAATATAGTACTTACCTGATCGAGCATGAGTTAGTAGACTCAAGGTAAAAAATAATTTGAGGTGAATCAGAAACGTTCCTTCGTCATTCGCCCAAATTACTTAGATTTGGGCCATTCGTCATCGAAACAAGGAATATTTATGATTTCTCTCTATATGATTTCTGTTGTTCATTGTAACTGCTATTAGTTCACCTTGATTTTTAAAATAATCGTCGATATAACTCATGGTATCATTATGCCAGTGGTGGATATGGAGGTTTCATATCCTAAAATGATATCGGTGAATGTTAGTGGAGGAACTGTTGAGAGTCCAAGCCGAAAATATATACCACGTTTTAATGGCATAATAATCCAGCGAAATATTTTCTTACGTCACAGTTATTAAAATCCATGAGTAGCTAGAAAAGTAAGATGAATCAACATGTTGTGCAACAAAATTCTATTAGTGATAGAATAAACGAATGATAAAATCTAGAGATACAATACAGTACACAGAACGAAAGCAAAGGCGTGTGTACTCGTATTAGTCATAAGGAAAACGTTTATCTTTCATTTACAACATTCCTATTGTTTTTCTTTTGCATATATTCAAAGATTATATGATTATGCGATAAATTACTCACTGTTATAGAGGTCTCTCTGGATAGCAAAAGTTAAGGCAAAACGAGAAAATATTTTTTTCCATGAAGAAAGAAGCCGATTGATTAAGAAAAGTTCATCTAATCATACATTACGTAAACCGTCTCCACAAGCACCAGAGAGAGAGAGAGGAAGGGGAACGAGAAACGTAGATAGACCTTTATATCCACATAATACATATGTACCAGAAGAGAAGGACTTATATATATCACACAAGAACAACAAAGAAGATGATAAAGAATTTTAAAAAATGGATACTTGTTAGTGTCCTCTCTAACAGTTACTGATACGAGAATACTTTCCTACGACATTCAAAGTATGCATAAATTTTAAGTCAAAAATCACTCGAGTAAATCTCGGAAACCCACGAAGATCGATACATGTTACTGATATCCACCAAAAGTGATACGCTAGAGAAATAGTTCAAGTTTCTGAATTTTCTATCACTATTTGTAAATAAAAATTGAAATTGTCATATTTTCCATTCATTAACGCAAAAATATGTCTGAAACTTGAAATAAACATATTAGGTATATACTTGAGTTCTGTCTTCTCTCAGCCAATGCAAACGAACGAGCACACTTAGTAAGAGGAAAAGTTTTTGTTTAATGACTGTTCATCAATATATGAAACACAGTATGAAGAAAAAATGTTACCCGTTTTTGAGGAGTGAAATAGTTTCGGTGATTTGAATCAGGTGGGTTAAATATTTAACGGTATTGGTTATCGAATCAGCCGATATTGATAAGCTCAACATGGTGGTCAGGAGAGAAGACGTTTTCTTGATAATATTTAGGAAGAAGAGTTTATTTCTCAGCAGCATAATATGTTCAGTGATTTGGAATAAGTGTAGTAGATGCAGAGTTGAATTCTATGAAGAAAGACTTAATACTTGATTACTGGATATACGTGCATTTAATGAAGTAGTTCTCTTTATTATAGGTCAATGAGGAGAACCTTTTAATCGCAGGATTGAATATAATGTATCTTCGGAATGAACAATGCGTGCAAATCAGTTTTGCTTACGTTTACTCGATGAATATTTCAAGTTTCAATTTACTACACTGCATTTTTTTTACAAATTCATTATGTTGAGAGAAAATATTTCGTTTTCGTAGCTGATGTCTTTTATTTTATCCATGTTTTCATTTTCCTTGTCGACCTGTCCCATATATTGACAGATGTTATGAAATCAGAGTGTTCTTTGGTTACTGAGAAAATGGTACTACGTAATTGCTTTATAGATTTGACCGAGATTCATCAATCTTTTATTTGAGTAATCAGTGTTTTTTCTTTTATTTTTCTCGATTGGAATATTACCTTGGGAGATGTGGCCGGATGTCGTGAATTCTGAACTCCTGAAATTCTTCAAAGTTACACCACGTTAGATAATGAAGATTGAGAAGATCACGGAATCTACGGAACTAACGAAATTCACGGAATCCGAGGAACTCACGAAAGGGTGTGGGTGTGGGTTTATAGTTAACTCACACCCGAACCCACACCCACACCAACACGCACAGCCACTACCACACCTACACTCACATGCACACCCTCCTTGGATTCCATGAACTTCTTTAATTGCTCTGTGTTCCTTTATGTGTATTGCGTCTGTCAAGTACGTAATGTTTGTATTTGGCTCAGTGGTTTGCATCGAAGTTTGATTTTCAAGAGTTTCAGAAGTTCAGAATTCATGGAATTCGGTCATTGCTGAATTTTTTGGTAAGCATCCATATGCAATAAGTTGGATACATGCACAACTCAAGTTGCATCACGTCGTTCTTCTTATTCTGTTTCTTTGCTATTGTTTCTCCGCCATTGTCACGAATAAAATAATTCCACAATTGAATGATAGCGTTTGATATTTTTACGACTTAACCTATTCTCTCTGAATTCTTTGAAAATTTCAATACTACACTAGGAACGTCGTTAAATATTATTGTTGAAATGACATCTACTACAACAGTATTGAAGCTAACTGCAACTACTAGTTAATCAGCAGCGTTTCTTAATACTATTTATGAACCTTTGTAGGGCTCCCTCCAATATTGTTTAAAGTGTCCTTACATCATGATATAATTAGTATAATACATGTATAGAGTAACTTTGGATGCAAAGTAAGTGATCCATTGCATTTAAGAAGTAACGTGCAATAGAACTGTTTGCACTTGTTTTAGCAACCTGATTTTATTCAAATTTTTTATCAAAATATGAATAATGAAAATATGTCAAGCAAGATACATTAATACATTAGTGTTTTATAGTATCTCATTTAGTTTTCTATATAGAGCATAAGATGATTACTAGGCTAATAGCAAGTAGCCGGTCACCAGCATCTATCTCATCATGGCCTACGTGTTCGTTATCGTGATTTGATTAGTTCATGGAAATTTTGTTAATATCTATCATTTCTTATTTTGTCTATTATTTATGATAACTATTTTTAAGAATAAATTTTTCTCTACAAACAGAACAAGATGTCTTCTACATATAGGGTGGTCCATAAATAACTGTGCGATAAGAAATTCGAATATCTCCATTACGGCTCGAGCAAACCTGCTGATTTTTTTACCAGTGATAGAGGCATGTATCAAGTTTATATCCATAAAGACATGTCCAGGGAGACCCTTTGTTAAGTATTACTATTGCCCTCAACAAGAAAAATTTACTTTTTCACAAATAGAAAAAAAAAGCAGTACACTTAACAGAGGATCTATCTAGGCATGTCTTTATGGATATGAAGCTTGAACATGCCTCTATTATTGGTAAAAAAATCAGCAGGTTTGCTCGAGCCGTAATGGAGATATTCGAATTTCTTATCGTACAGTTATTTATGGACCACCCTGTACACTGTATGAAAATATTATGATATGCCTATTGAGAAGACTTAATGTATTACACTGAAAAAAAAATAAGTATCATACCGAACCTTTTTTGCAACGAATTCTAAACCCTCGGAGGAGTTTCGTATAAACCTTTGATCCCTTCAAAGTGATTGTCATCGATCAAAAAGTCTTTGTTAAAGGTTCGGTAGAGCTTTTTAGGGTTTGGTACGAAACCTAAAAAGGTTCAGGATTCGTTGCAAAACTCGAAACCTTTAAAGGTTTCGTACATTGTACGAAACCCTTTTTTTCCTTCATGAAACCCTTTTTTTGTCTATGAAACCCTCTGAGGTTCGGTAATGTAACCATTTTTTTTCCAGTGTAAGAGAGTATCCATGAGGGGATCGAGAATCGCACCATTATTTGAGGTACCGACCAAAATCTTGTTTTTTCATTTTTTTGTGTTTTGAAAAGCCATTCTCCGAAACTATGCAACCCAAACCTTTAGCTCATTTGGATGTATTATAATAAAGTTAACCAATACCAAATTTTGAGCATTACCAACTTATTATCAAAAAATAGTCAAAAATCATTCCGTGAATATTTATTAGGATTATGTTTCAACAAGTGAGAGAATTGTTTCGTACAATATGCCAAAAGACATTGCATTAATAGCTGAAAAAAAGCCTGTAAACGCAAATCCTGTGGGAGTGAACTGTGGAACTCGCATATGTTGTTTGGCCTCATTAAACTAATACAAAATCAGTGAAGTGAAAATTCCTCGTAGACTAGTTTTGTTTGAAGAGAAGCGATCAGCCAGTAAAGAATTGCCTTTTTTTATGTTTACATTGCGAACAGAAATTGTTTATTTTTTCTACAAGCGCTCTATTTTTTGTTTGCATAGTTGCAATTCGCTCGTTGTTTTATATTTTCGTATTTTGTAAGCTTAACTTAACATTGTTATCGTTAGAAGCTTTGAATTATATGAAAAATAAAGTTGTTGTAAATATCTTTTATATCTACAACAGCCAGTCTTAATACACTTATATATCTCGATTAACTCACAACAAACTTACATTGATTATGCGTCAAAATTATAATTTGATGAATCGACACTTTATGTTAACCAAATGACCATTGTGGTGACTTTGTCTCATTTCAGGTACTTTTTTTTTTAAGTCAAATTGAAAATAAACAAGTATTTGTAATTTATTTTTTTGAA